TTATTTTTTGAATACTGAATTGATAATATAATTGTAAGCTTTTATTAAAGTTTAAAAATTAGTTTCATACATAGATTTTATTCCTTTAGAAAATATTTTTTATATAATATTTATATTAATATTTTTTTGTGAAAGAAATGGATACACTAACAATTATGTTTTTTGTGGTTGTTTATTTCAGTTATTTACAGTCCACTGAGAGGACGTTGCTGTTTGGCGATATTAGATAATCGGAAACTTTCCGAATTCTACCACGCAGTGACTTACAAAGGAATAAAATGATGGATATACCGCATAGAATCTGCAAGCTGAAGTAGTAGTGGATCGGCTATGTAATTCGAGCAATAGTTAGTCATTGGAGAATACAAGTTTTCAAAATATGATTTCAAGTAGCTATATGAAGGTTCATGTAGGTGTATATACGTGATTTTCTGGCAAACTTAATCTCATTATACTTTAACTAGTCTTCATTGGTAACTTCTTACTGATATACTATATATTTGTTGATTGGGATAAAATAGCTTATATCCTTTTCTATTTTAAATAACATATGTATGCTAAATTTTCCAGACGATTGCTCGAGTTGTTAAAGCGCTAAGAGAAAACATACAAACCCACTTTCACATTCACAATAGATATTAGTGAGGATTTAGGTACTAGTTCAAACGTTACTTAATTCTACGAAAATACAAACTAGTAGTTTTCATCATCGATATAATTATAGATACGTCACTGTGCTCGTTCAAGAGAGATTTAGCAGTACGCTGTCGACGCGGCGGATTACCGTGATTTCCCGGGGGGTTCGGACCGAAAAGACACCTCGGTTGCATCCACATTATTACTTTCCCATCCATCCGACAGCTGCCTTGCGCTCTCTGGTGTCGAAACGTTAATTATTTTGTAAGTTCTATAATTATTTTGTGGGAACTTGTAACATATTGTGCTTGTTTGATACAAGGCTTTACCAGTAAATCATATTAGTATAATTTTTATATATCATACTTTAGTTGTACTATTTCGATTTTAAAATGAGATTTGCTTGTATCATTTCGTGGGTAAATTATAAAAAAATACTTTAACTAATTCTGCGGTGTAACTTTTGACGCAATAGAATTGGATTCAAATCGATATCATATCAAATAGACAAAAAATATTACGTAAGGCTTATTTGATTATTTGATGTTATTTGGTTTCATCTCAATGGTTACATGAAATACTATCACGCTGAATAGATTATGAAATTTATTTTTGACATTATACTGTTAATTTCCGTCTTGGTCCTACATGAATTTGTCATGATTGTTTTTTTTTTGCGGAGCGAAATAGTTCGTTATATAAGAAAAGTATTTTTTATTGTTTCCATTATTTTCGTTTTATTTGCCACACTGTTTTATTACTCAAATGAAAGTATATTCTACTAATATAATAAAATTGTAATTACATAATGTCTGTGCATAGAAAGTATTAACGCGCAACAAGTGGTTTACATAACACTAACAGATTCCAAAACTGTCTGTATGTTTGTTCCGGCATCACGTAAAAACTACTGCACCAAATTTTATGTACTTTTAACGGTTATGTAGCTGAAGGCGTAACATAAAATCTGATGTATGTTTTATCTTAATACACCATCTATAAGTGCTCTATTTTGTTGGTTTTTCTATTTCTGAAATCCACGCGTACAGAGTAGCGGGCAAAAAGCTAGTTTAGCAATAAAATGAGTTACTCTACGAAGGTAAATTATTTTTGTGGCTGATAGATTTCTAATAAATACAGCTATGAAAACTGTTTAAATAGACAATGTAAGTATATATAGGATAGAAAGGCAAAAACAAATTGTTACGAGTATATTAAATAAAAAAAGAATGTACAATAATAATAAACTTATATATAAAAAAAGGTTGGTTGGTCAAGCTGCCAGCAACAATTTTCTTTTCGAATTTATAATACAATAAAAAATATGTTCAGATGAATATTATTAATGTTTGGAATGAAAATAAAAATATCGGTGTCCACCCTCGGAGGCGACGACAATGCATCACAAGCGACATCCGGCGGAACTGGCGTAACGAGGCCGTTGTTCACCCCCCTTCACCCTGCCTCCTCTAGACTCAACCCCAAAGCCATTGACTATTTTTCCATCAAACCCCATGGAGATTATTTTCGGATAGCATTCACTCGATCTCAATGCCATGGTGATGAATATAGGCTCGTATTAATAATTTGTCCTCCGGCTGTTTACGGTCGTTACAAATGGTACGCAGTTATTAAAGTAATAAGTTAAAATAAGAGTTTTCAATAGCATGTTTGTTTGGTAATCTGAGATTCTTATATATTGAAACTGACTGCCCATTTATTCGAATGTTAATAAAAGTAGGGTAATGTGTTTCGATGTATCATTATGTCCGAATTTAAAACACGATGTTGCTGAAATTATTTAATAAACACATATTTGTAGGAATGTGATTTTATAAAGTACTGGAGTTCATTTATTTAGTTATGAGCAGTTAGTTGATTATAAATCTTATTATTATATCTTATTGTTATTATTATCTGATTGATATAGGTAAATGCTAGAATTTATGAAAAGTATTTTAAGTCCTTTTTCAATCGCAATATACCTCTAAGCTTCCATAAATTGTAATTTAATTCAATTAGCGCATGGGGGTTATCATGGGCGAAACAGTATACTCTGTTATGTTTATGGTACTGCTCATATCTATAGGTGGCGGTTACCACTTTCCATCAGGTGGGCTGTCAGCTTGTGTGTCATTCTAAGTTGCATAAAACAGGTAAAACCCACCATCGCCCAGTGTAGTAGCAAGTTTCAAGTTGGTACCCATTTAGATACTACCCAGAAAAGGTATGTAAAATGTAAGCCACTCTAATTTATATAATAACCTTTAAATGTATAGTATGAAATAACGCTTTTTAATAAATTTGTAGCAAAACAGAAGTAAATCAAAAGATATTTTTCTACGTTTAGTAGGTAGCATGCTTCATGTTACCGCTTCGCAAAAAAGCTTCTTGAAATCTAAGCTGCTCTTATTGCTTCTTACCTATAGAGTTATTGTAGGTGAGTGATACTACAAACAAAATAAAACCTTATTTTAATACATATAAATATAATTATTTTCTTTATTTACTAGGCTACATAGTTACCACCTTTACTAATATTATAAATACGAAAGTGAGTTTCTGTTTGTTTGTTACATTTTTACGCCTAAACTGCTAAATCGATTATGACGAATTTTGATACAAGGATAGATGTGACCCTGGAGACGGCTATAGGCTACATTATTTTTTTTTTAAACTACTTCTTAAAGGGGGTGGGTTTTTTTTTGTAACTATTTTCTTTCTACTTTTATCAACAACTTGAATCGTTGAACAATATCAATATTAACGCCGCGAGTAATAAGTAAAAGTAAAGTAAAAGCTAGTACCTAATAAATTTTTGTTAATATTAGGTAATGAAACACTATTTATGGTATAATACTCGTAATTTCCAAATATATTTTGTAATTAAAAAACCAAAACGGGTTAAATTAAGATGTATATTTTTAGATTTCAATAATCGAGGGAAACAAATCAACATAAATTTCATTGAAATAATTTTATTTGTACTCAGCATGAAACAAAAAAGGGTTGCGTTGAATCTCGTAATCAAGTCGAATAGATACCCGTTGTGGTAAAATTTCATTATTGAACCTGTGCTAAGTTTTTTGTGAAATATATCGATACATATACACATAATAATATGACTGTTAAACATTATCTTTATGTATGTGTGTATATATATATATATATAACATTAGTGTCACTGTGTGTTACTTATTATTTTTATATTTTATTGACCAGTGAAGATAAAATCAATACGACCTAAATCCATAATTTTTTGAATTGATATTCGTGTCGATATAATATTGATTTATTAGGTGATCATAATCATTTAATACGCCATCAAGGCACAGAGGCATAATACCTAATTTCTCAGGAATAACAACGCGTGGGGAGTATCATTGGTGAAACAGTATACTCTATTATGTCCATAGTATTGCTCATGTCTATAGGCGACTGTTACCACTTTCCATCAGGTGGGCAGTCAGCTTTCTAAGATATTCTAAGTTGCACAAAAAATATATATAAGAAAATGGCTGAATGAATTTTAATGTAGTTATGAAATGGGGTAAATGAATTATTATTATTGGAAACGGATTTTGCCAAGCAGAAAAATCTGTAACACTGCGACCTCTGTAATCTATTGGTTTTTCGCCCTTTTTTAAAGTTCGTTGTTAATTTCCGTCAGTGATAGAATTTTAAGATGTTCTCAGCAGCATGGAGTAATTTCAACTTTAAAAGGGATGTATGATTATAATAGGTGTTTATTTACTTCTCGCTAGGAATACTATAGTGCTTTTTATTTATTTACCCTTACAACTTTACACTATGTCATAGGGGCGAGCCTACCGCCATTATTAGTATTAATTTGGTTTGTTATAACTGTTTTTATTATTGGAGAATTTAGTAGAACATTTTGGATGTTGGCCAGATTTGAGCTCACGATATTTGTGGTCTATAAGTCGAAGTACGTTTAAGATATATGGATTATTTACAATATATAAAAACATTAACTAACTTTACTTATTTTTAGTTTATTAACAATAACAACAAAGTTTACAAACGATATAGAATTTGTTTAAGATTTTATTTAAAACAATAAATTTTACATCGTTTGTCTATTGAAAATTTGTTGAAAGCATCACGCAAATACTGTTGTATAAATATTTATCGCGAATGAATCAAATATGTCGTGATCAAATAAATCATGGGAAACGCGTAATTTGTCGCATGCTAGTAATAACGATATAAATGCTTCACTAATGACGGAAGTCCATTAGTCAGGTACATCATTTTATTACTTAGCTACAGTAAAATATATCTTAAAGAATATAAAATAGAATGTTTTATTTGAGATATAGATATTTGAGTTATTTTTCAAAAGAATACATAATTAAAAAGGGATTGTTAATTGTATGTATTACAACGTTTTTATAGCTATTTAATACATAGTCTTATTCTATTTTTGATATTGCTATATATTAATTAAGAAATACTGTATATAATAATAAATAATTAATTATATTTTCTTAACTTATTGGGTTACAATGTTCCCGTGAATTCTCCCCCTTAGGAAACATTTTATTTTTACGGCGCAAATCTTCTTATCTCAGTTTCCAGTCCAACAGAGACATAATATAAAGCTACCTTGCTAGATACTGTGTCAATATACTCGTAACATTACTGGTATAATATTTTATATATATACATACTGTATATGTATTAAATATAATTATTTATACTATGAAATATTCTTTTTCATACGTATTAGGTAATAGCTGTAATAAAACTTTTTGATATTTTACTAACATAGTTTAATTATAATACGAAGAGTGTGCAATCTATTTGAATAACATTTAACTACAGCAAATATACTAATATAACTGTTGTATCATTATAACAATACAAAATTGGTTAACGGGAATTATTCGCGATTGTTTAGAGTTCATTAGGCGGTCATCTTCAGGCTGCGATATCGGATGTAACAAAGTAGTAAATCGAAAACGGAAAACTCATTAAATTCACTTAAACCAATGTTATATCTATCTATATAAAGAAAAAATAGCATTAGTTTTAAAAATAATTTCAATTAACGTTAAAGTTACATCGCTCCATCTGTACGGGTAGAATTTAGATCTGTGACATTTTATACTAAGACATAAAATTCAACGAAAATGGGAGTTGATGGTTTCGCGCGGGTGAAACCGTGGTTACCTGCTAGTTATAAATAAAAATGTAAGTATGCTGATTCCCGTAGCTGGAAAACTCCAAACATTACACGGGGAGTGGGGATGAGCGTCGGCGGGGTGGGTGCCGCGTGGGACGGGTAGATGTAAACACAAAGGTTCTGCATAGCCGGCAGTCACGTGGCGCGCCCGCCGGGGGCGCATCACTCTTAAGGGCGGTTTCGCAAGCAAATAAGCGAAAATAGTTCACAAAACATTAGGAACCATATCACCATCATCACATTTGAAGTTTGATAGTGATTTAAACTGTAATAATAGTGAAATTAATGACGACAATACAAAATATCGATGAAATAAAACTTTTCAAAAGTTGTAAAAAATTATCTTTTGACAACCCTAAACCTTAAGAGTGATGCCCTCCGGTTCAGTATGTGTACCTAAAGGACCAACGACATGTCATTCAAACATATGATATCGTATTGAATTAGAGTAATTGTATAAAATACAACAACCACTCTAAAGAATATCAATACAAAACATATCAAAAAACATTATCACTATATTGTTTAATAACCTTCTAAAGTAAATTTATATTATTATTAATCTACAATAACATATCTAATTGTAATAAGTATCTTCATAAGTCAGTGTTTTATCGGTAAGTACCATAGTCTTTATTTTATTTTTATTTTAATGTTTTAATTAGAAAACATTTAACTACAGCTTTTTCTTTATATTACTAAGATATTGAATAATCGTAATTTTGTATTTACATTATTACCTCTGTATTTACATTACATTAAGTATCGTACTATATTGAAAAATGGACTCGTTAATACTTAGTTAATATTATACTATATGTGATATATATGTTATTATGAGAAATTATTAGTGCTTATTAAAAAAACTTTGATGATTTAAAAAACACAGATAGTTAATTATGCGCATGTTAACAAACTAATCAAAATATTTACATTTGAATTTATTTATTACATTATGTCATATAATATACTAATACTAGTTGCCTCGATAAACGTTGTTCTGCCATATAATATTTTTTTCTGGATAGGGACATCTTAATAACCAAGCGGTATGAAATATACTTTTAATACCTACATACATACAGTACATAAAAAAATTCATAACGATCTGTCAAGCTGTTTCGGAGAAGTTTGACTATTAACACCGTGACATTTTTATAATTATTTAGATATTTAACAAGTTTTATATTTATAATATACAAATATATAAAAAAAAGATTATCTATTATATACGCACCTTACATCTAAATACTAACTATATTAATAATAAGACCTTAAAAATTACATAACTATAAAAAAAAAAAACTTTGAGATTACTGCCAATTGATAGAGTACCTCGGAGACTTGCTGCATTTCCACGATGAATGGCTATGGAGATGCGTTGACTAAAGTATAGGCCAGATATTAATAAAGACTATAATTATACTACTGGATTTAACCCGACTGAATGATAGGAATGACATCCTTCACCATTCTAAATAATAGTACGCGTACACCAAATTTTATGACGATCGGTTGAGCCGTTAAGGCACCAAGAGGTAACAAAGAAACAAACAATTTAACTAACTTTTACATTTATAATATTAGTAAGGATTACAATATTGTCTAAATTAAATGTTACTATAATTATTTTAGGGTTACTAAAAATTATTAAAAAAAAATTATATCAATACTTTTTTTTAATATAGATGAATATATTTATCAATACTGCCTAGGGAAGTGTGTACGGCTTAGAGTGTAAACATATAGTTAATTAGAAAAAAATAGTATTTTCCAATCACCATATTTATTACCTTTGCAATTTATAGAAACAACTAAATGAGAGATTTTCAAATATAAAGTATGATTTTTATAACTTACGTTTCGTAAATGTAGATAAAAATAAAAAATATCTATGTTATTAGTACTTTACGGTTTCCACTTTCCATCAGGTGGGCCGTCAGCTTGTTTGCCATTCTGAGTTGTATAAAGAAAAAACACTTTAACTTAGAATTGGATTTTATAAACTTTGTTAATATTTTGTACACTTTAATCGAATTCTTTTTTATAGAAAACTACATTTAGATATATTTATCTAATTCTATTTAAACAAATGTGTAGCTATTTAAATTTTACCCAATTTTTGAGTGATTTACTAATACAGTTACCACTTTCCATCAGGTGGGCCGTCAGCTTGTTTGCCATTGTAAGTTGTATAAAAAAAATATATATATATATATTGGTTTTTGATTAGTATTAAAAATAAATATGAAACAGTAATAATTGTTTATTGGATTGTTTGTAAATCAATATATAGATACGTGTGGTTGTTAAATATTACCGAGCAACAGCTATCGTGTTTAATTTAATAGTGATACAGTAATCAGTGTAAAAAGCTTTTTGTAGTCCCCTAAACATCCGAATATTAATTCAATAAGCGTTCCACCCCTAAAACATTGCGACTACTATATGTCAAGAGTTGTTTGTGTCGACGGGACCTTAATAGAGTTATTAAATTTAGCGTTAATTTATTCAATTTGGAGTGGGAGGAAGACAATAGCAGTGGTGGGCGGAACCTTCGCTGGCGCCGCCCGTTCGCGCACCTGAAATTTGATTAACATACCCATTTATTACTATAGTCATTATGTAGATACCATCTTATTACCATATCGGGCTTTAAGTACAGCTCGTTTTAGTATTTGATATTAAATTTTACACGGAAAAATTTAGTATCTAAGTATGTTCTTGTGTTGCTTGGAAGACCACTTAGTGGGAAGTGATAGACGTTGCTTATAAATATATGTAAATACCATACTCTAACAACTTATCAACGTCCCAGTGAAAAACATGTCTCTTAATCGTAATTGAAGGATATAACCTAGCGTTTACTATTACTATGTTGGTTAGTAGCATAGTAGTAGTGGTTTATATGGGTTATATTGACTAGCATTGACATAAAGCATAGATAAAAAGTAGTATTTACCATAAGGCAAAGATGAAGAAAAAAAAAATACAGACGAATTCAGAACCTCAGATGAGTTACTATTTCCTTCCTTTTGAGATGTCTTAATAAAGCTTTCATCATTAACATTACATTAGTCTCTTTTCAACTTGCGATGCCAAACATAAAAATATATTTTAGAATAAAAATTGTCGATAGATTAGGTAATAGGAGTTTTATTTCAATGCTACAAGTATTGATGGTTGCCGTTTCAGTATTAAATCTCTAGTAAGTATCGAGGGTTGTAGGGTAAATTTTATTGCATTGTGAGAAAACTGTAGGCGCGTCCCCGAGGAGCGATCCGTTGGCAAACACCGATATCTGCCACCGATGTACGGGATTGAGACACGCGCCGTTTCCTTTTTATTTATTTTCTGTTCTTTTTTCCTTTATGAAAACGACTACAGCTTAGTACTTTTTTTTTATTAATATACTTTATATTATTTGTAAAACTTGTTTTATTGGTAAAATTTTATCTTCTATCAACCAAACTGAATGTTATTTTTTTTTCAAAGGATGATATTTTTAATGAAGAACATTAAAAAATTTGAGTCTGCTGTACTAACTTGATAGTTGAATACTCTATGTTAAATATTTTTTTTTTAAAGTTTTCAAAATATTCCTTTAAAAGGATGGTATTTATTTTAAATATCTCCTGTATAACTTGTATATCCTGTATATTACCTTACTAAATATAAAATATTATGCTTTGTACCTTTTTGTACTATGTAGGGTTATCTACCTCTAGTATCTAGGGTTCTAACTTTAATATTTGTTATCGAATTTGAAAGGGCCTTCTAGATTCTTATAAGGTCAAAATAAAGGTACAAAGTTCAAATGAGAAACCTCTACAAATCTATGATTTATTATGGTAAATATTACTTATAATAAAATCGTCGTCGGTCGCTGTATGTCGGTTTGTCTGTATGTCTGTACGTTTGTGCACGCTAATTTCAGAAACGGCTTAACCGATTTGATTGCGGTGTTCACTAATGCATTGCGGTTTGCTCCACTTAACATTTAGTGTTATTTTTTTAATTCAAACGGTTCATAAATAAAAAAAATATATCAATCCAAAAATCACATATAATGCTATATTGGAGTATGTATGTAGTTGAATTAGCCAAACTTTTTTTTATTATATGTCTACTCATGTTAGGCCGGGTCGGATCGCTAGTATTAAATATATTTAACTATTTTTAATAGGTACCTTTAAAAGATTAACAGGAGCTGACTGCCTGACTGATAATCTACATCAGTATATCTAGAACCGCAATTCTTTTTGGAAGTGTAATAATAAAAATAGATATTACAATTCCTACGCGTTCGATTTCTCGCTGGTCGCTGGTTTTGTTATAAATAAATTTAATGAGAATTTTAAATCAGAAGAATAAAATTAGATAAAAATAAAAATGTCGTGTTTGGATGTGCATGTATTATGATATAACAAGAAAGACAAAAGAAGCATTCTATGAAAACATAAGAAAACAAAAAAGTATTTTATAATTATGAACTAGTTTATATTACAATATTTTGATTCGTATTGAACACTATGGGAACAGAAGATAACGGGTTCATTTAACCACTAGTCCAGTCTTCAGTTCAGTCCAGTGTTCAGTCTAAAGACTCAAGTTTTGCTGTTTCACAAACCATTATCTTTTTCCATTTTATCAATTTAAAAAATAGGTATGTAACCAGTTTAAAAATTTGGCTTCCTTTTTTGCCTTTATTTTTTTTTTGTTTATAAATTAAACCGGTTTAATGAGACTTCTACTTAACCAAGTTTGTATGGATCTAATATCTGAATAAAATATCCCCGCTAAATAACCAATGTAAAAAGAATAGTTAAAGTTGCTTCAGAATTAACAATATAATCGTGTAAGAGGCTCACAAAAAAATTAAGACAAATTATGACCTTCTTCTTTCAGAAGTCTCTTACTTTCCAAATTTTTTAAATTGTAGTTCTTATGTGCTTCGCAAAATAAATTATGATTTTAAATAGTACCTATGTTTCGATGATAAGTGAGTTCATGACAGGATACTAACTTGTCGATTTGTACCTAACCAAAAACCTACCGAAAAAAATTAATTCTTATTAGTATTAAATCACAGTCTATAATATAAGTGAATGCTACACGAATTCATGGAATTTAATAAAGTGTTTTTGAGTTATTCTCAGTTGAGTTCACAATTTCCTATATTAAATCGACGAGCGGCGTGGGAGAGGTTGCTATGATACCTTAGAGAAGTTAATAAGTCATAAATAGCGAGTGGAGGGAGACAGAGCTTTTGTATTCGGATGTGTAAGAACGAGAGGGAAGTAACCCCCCAGGTAACGGTGGTGATATGAAATCGTGTGGAAAAAGGTGCGCTTGGAGGAGTTACGAGGTGTCGCTAGATTTAATGGGACCCTGTAATGTAGTTATTGAGAATGGTTTTGTGTTATTTAATTCGTTTCTACCTAATAGGTAATTTGTCTAGGACTATCTTAATGACAATTCGATTTTTTTTTATGTATAAGTTGCGAAATATTATCATCAATTCTGTACAGGTTCTATTTTAATCGAAGTTCTTTTTCTAAAACAATTATACATATTGTTAAATAAATCATTAAAAAATATCGTAACTACTTTGTGT